CACACACACACACACACACACTCTCTCACACACACACACACACACACACACAGTTTGATTGCATAAGCAGCACATAATAAAGCTGCTCATTTCCTCTGAAAATGAAAACGCTGATTTGCTGGAGAGACAGACGGGACTTTATCTCCCATGGCAACCGACATGTGACGAAATATCAGACACACTTTACCTGCACTGATGGTCTGACCGGCGTTTGCATCAACACGGAAATACATATACATAAATGCATGCTAGTTTATCAAAATATTCTAAATGCAGAGATGGAAAACACTTGTGTAGCACATGCAGAAAAGCAAGCACACATCAGTTTCTGAAGTCATCAGTCATTCTGTCTGCTTGTGTGAAACCGTTTCTGATGTGCAGCAGATTGTGTTACACATGATGCTGGTCAGTGAGTGCACTTCATAGGCCGCACATGTTGGCCTTTGACCTCCTGGAATCTGGCAGACGTTTGTCAGTGTGTGTGTGTGTGTGTGTGTGTGTGTGTGTTCGGGGAAAACACGTCTAAAGATATTTGAAATACTGAGTATATCTGAAACGATGAAGACTTTAGCTGGAGAAGATGAAGTGTTCTCTCATGGGAGAAACACGTTATTATTTAAAGCAGCTGCAATTATTTCTGTCCTAACTTATAAAGTCTGGTGAAATTATTTAAGATTCAAATATGGGAAAAATCTAAATATTGAGAAAATCATCTTTAAAGTTGTTCAAATGAAGTTCTTAGCAATACATATTACTAATAAAAAATTAAGTTTTGATATATTTACCGTAGGACATTTGCAAAATATCTTCACGGAACATGATCTTTACTTAATATCCTAATGATTTTTGGCATAAAAGAAAAATCGATAATGACGTAGGATGTCGGCGTAGCGATATTCCATAACCTGCCCATAAACAAACAGTACTGTGGTTAGAGAACATATTTTAACATCAAAATAAATTAAGTTCAGTATTATAATGAATAAAAGCCATTTGTTATGCAAGACTAAAGGCATTTCCGTCACCTGACTGTCAACTTGTCCTTGTACGTTGCTTTGCCTAAAATAAAATCATTAACAAGATTTTAGCAGTCAGTGAGATTGAGAACACAAAAATTACCCAACAATGGGCCTCATTCATAAAACACAAGCAGAACACATTTTTGTGTAAATCGTTTGTAAAGCCATTCTGACGTAAACTTTCGAATTCATGAAAACGTATTTTCAAAATGAATTCGAAATGTCCCTAGCACGTGTAAACGGTTCATAAATTATTCTGTGCTCTTTTTGGCAAACTGATGACACTGCATTTTGATGTAGTGCCGTAATAATTAAAGTTAATTTGCCCTTGCCCTCTTTTCGTTTTGTTTTTTGTTTTGTTTTTTTTGCACCACCAGCTGGTCGTTTTAAGAAGTGTGTCTGACATTTTTTCAGCTGGCTAAAAACTCTTATTGACTGTTTATCAATAATCAAATATCAACTATTGGCTCTTATATATTGACTATTAGTCTTTTTTGCATTTATGCAATATACTGGAAGCAAACTTGAGAAAGTAGACCAGAATATTCCACTGCGTTTCTAGACGCGCAATTTGCGTAGCTGTAATTCACAGACGGGGATTATACTAATTGTGAACATCCTATTTACGAATGATTGGAATTCATTAACATACACATGTTTAACTATCAAATCGGAAGTTAACGAAGTGTTTGTGAATCCGGAGGACAGTTTTCTTTTTGGGAATGTCTGTTTTATGCGCAAATTACTCAGAATTTATTCATGTATTTACGCAAGTTTCATGAATGAGGCCTATTGGGGGGAAAAAACAACCCAACATATCTGACCCTGCAGCACAAAAGCAGTGTTAAGTCGCTGGGGTATATTTGTAGCAATAGCCAACAATACATTGTATGGGTCAAAATTATACATTTCTCTTTTATGCCAAAAATCATTAGGATATTAAGTAAAGATCATGTTCCATGAAGATATTTTGTAAATGTCCTACTGTAAATATATCAAAACTTAATTTTTGATTAGTAATATGCATTGCTAAGAACTTCATTTGAACAACTTTAAAGATGATTTTCTCAATATTTAGATTTTTTTTGCACCCTCAGATTCCAGATTTTCAAATAGTTGTATCTCAGCCAAATATTGTCCGATCCTAACAAACCATACACCAATGGAAAGCTTATTTGTTCAGCTTTCAGATAATGTATAAACCTCAGCTTCGAAAAATGACCCTTATGACTGGTTTTGTGCTCCAGGGTCACATATGACCCAACAACCTCAACCCAGTGATTGCGTAGAAAAGAATAACCCCGCATTTTTTAGAGTGTTCTATTTCAGTCTTTCTACATTACTTTACTACATCGATTCTTTGTAGTGCTTTGAGAAATTTACCAGTGATTTCTGAGTGTAAGTTGTGTAGTGTGGGAATCGAATCTAAATCTTTCTGCCAAACGGAGATTGAGTTTTGACTCAGAGCCGATGGTTGATGTTCCTGTTGTTTAGCGTGGATAACCTCATGGCGGCGTGACCCGTTAGCTCTGCTCATCAATCATGTCTTCTGCTGATGTTCATGAGCTCAGATTGGCTTTAATGGAGTTTGTAGTTTGTAGAAACTTGCTGCATCTCCTTACTTTGTGGTTTGGCTCCGTTTCCAAGATCTCATTGGAAATGCTTTGGGAAGTCGAGCCTCAGGCGAGGAAACACACGCTAATTTCCCTCCCACGGAGTAATTTGGCCTCATTTGCATTTGCGGATCGTTAGCAGACGAAGGCAGGTTAACTGAATTAAAGCAGATCTCCATTACAGCGCTTTATTCTCGGATCTGCGGCTGTAATCACGGAGAACCGACGCTCCTTGATGCTCTTTGTGGGGCATTGATTAAGATTATATTGGGCTTTAATTGGGAGGGTGACTTTGCCATCTTAATCAGGCCCTGATTAGTTTAATGCCCGACCACCTTGAGTGCTTTCTCAGAACTGCTCTTTGCTCACTAAAATACATTTGTTGAAATAACCTCTCACACTGTTCCTCATTTACATTGTTAAAAGCAGAACGTACAGTAGGCTGTGTTCATACATGCACAACTTTAAATACTGTTTAAATGCTGTATGAAACTATAAACTATACATTATTGTCAGGTACATGTGGAAATAATTTATTTCAGCGTCAAATATTATGAAGAGAAACCAAAGTTATTAGAGTTAATTAAAATTAAAACATTAAAAAAAATTGTTACTTAAAATAAATGTTAACTGAAATAAAATAAAAAAATGTTTTACTTAAGCTTGTTCCCAAATGCAACATTTTTCATGCATTTAGTACTAAACAGGGTTAATATAATTAACCGGAACTAAAAATGCTTCTTGAAATAAATATTGCCAAGACAACATTTTTTGCTTTCATTTAGTTTGATATACAAAAATAAATTTGTTATTCAAAGTTAACATTTACTGATATAAAAATATATATATACATATACATTTTTTTTTTCAGGAAGTTCCCAATGCAACATCTCATTTTCAATTTGTTTAACTTTATGTACTAAAATAACTACAACCAGAACTAAAATATAAATAATTAAAAACATAACAGTAAAAAAAAAAACTAAAAATGATAAAATTACTAAAACTTTGACTAAAATATTAAATTGAAAATAGAAAAATTTAAATAAAAACTAATTCAAAAGATTAATAAAAACTATAAGTATATCAATTATACTAAAATAATTAAAACTGAAGCAAAAATGCATAAAATAGACATAAAAAGCTCATAAAAATGACAAAAACACACAACAAAATTACTAAAACTTTGAAATTATAATGAAAATAGATGTGATAAAGCTGATTACATTCCCTAACAGTGTTCATACTGCATACAGTGTGTGTGTGTGTGTGTGTGTGTGTGTCTGGGAGACGCTGAACAGCACGAGACAGGAGATGACGGTGATGGTGAACTCAATGGACAAGAGCTACACGGAGCAGGGAACCAACTGTGATGAAGCGCTTTCATTCATGGACACACACAACCTCAACGGACGCTGTGAGTCTCACACACACACGCACACACACTCACACACACATACACACACACACACACACACACACTCTCACACATGTCTGGTCAGCTATCCTTGTGGGGACTCTCCATAGGCGTAATGGTTTTTATACTGTACAGACCGTATATTCTATTGCCCTACATATTTTTTTTCCTTTCAGTTTTGGTAATTTTGTTATGTGCTTTTAGCAGTTTTATTAGTTTTTTATGGTACTATTTAAGAATTAAAAAGAAAGAAAAAACATCTAACCGTTTCTCATTAATTCCTTTTTAAGAAATACCTGTATATTTAGTATAAATATACATAACTCTATATTTTATGGTACTGTTTAAGAGTTTACATTAATTTATTTTGGTTTTAGTTTTAGATTTAATTCATTTCCATTTAGTCATTTTATTGCTTCAACTCAGTTATTTCAGTTAGTTACCAAGACTTTTTTACATTTTTGTTTAGTTATTTATTAATAATATTGCCAATATTTAATATATTTTAAACTATAATAATTGTTTTATTGTTTTCAGCTTTATTTGAGTTGAGAGAAATGTTTGTGCGAGTGTAATGGTGTTTTTCTGTGTGAAGCCGGATCTTCTCCGTGTTCTCTGACGGTGAAGACGAACACGATGAGCAGCAGCATCCCGAACACGTATTACCCAGGTAACACACACTCCACACGCGATACTGAAGGAAGTATCTTGCCTTGTTTGACTTTGAAAGTTGTGCTGGACAGTAGAGGAGCTTGAAGTCAAATGATTGAGATCTGCTGTATTAAAGCAGAAAGCTGATGATTCAGACGGACTAATGTGTGTGTGTGTGTGTGTGTGTGTTTCACTTCTCTCCGTGTGTTTCTGTGCTTCTACTCCAGACCCCTTCGTTCCCACCGCGATCTTAGGTGAGCTGCGTCTGTGTTTCTCCACATCATGCTCGTTTGATTTGGCTTGTTTTGCAGCTTCTCATCAGCACACCTGTCCTTCCGTCTGTTGCTTCTCTTCCTTTGGCTTCCGCCTTCACTCCATCCCATCCGCATCTCGGTGATGTCACTTCCTGTCTGACATCTCATTTGCATGGACAGACATGTGGACTGGATGTGGAGGAGGGGATGGATGATGCTGTAGCTGCACATTCAACACACCTTGAATTCAGGCAAATCACACATTTGAAGTCTGAGAACTCCAAAAAAGCATCCAAAAAGTGATTAAACAAACCATACTAGAAGATGAAATAAAATTAAGAGTATTATTATTACTACTACTACTCTTACTACTATATTATTAGTTATATGAATAATAATAATTTATTGATAAATTACAATTGTAAATTAATACATTTAATGTAACAATGTAATAATCATTTATCAATGTTTAATTAATTCAATTTAAACCGATAATTAATTAATTAGATGTTGTTGTCATTTTAATGCAATTAATATTATTATTTCAATTATTTTATATTATTTTAAAATAAATTATATGTTAAACATAATTTAAAATGTATGTTATTAAAATATGTATTAAATAAATTTATTATGTTATTTTATTAATAAATTTATTTAAATTTTATATTAATAATTATTATTATTATAATACCAATTATCATTATAATAAATCTATGTATTAATACATTAAAATTATAAATTAATAATTTAATAATAAATATTGTTTAGTAATTAGGGTTGCAAAAAGGTGGAAAATTTCCAGTAAATGTTGGAAACGTTCCAGAAATTTTGGAAACTTTCCAGGATTTTTTGGAATATTCCAGGCATTTTTGGAATGTTTCCGGAAATTTACCAGAAATTTTCCACCCCCTTTGCAACCCTTTTAATAATAATGCAATGCGTTAAAATTCTAAAAAAAATAAAAATAAAAAATACATAATCAAGAAAACATTATATTTTTTGTGAACACCAAGATACTGATGAGGAGTGCACGTTTAAAAGTTTTAGTGTTTATTAAACTAGAGCTGATGATGATGATGATGATGCTGTTGCATTAGAACTGAAGAACTGATCAAATGTTAAATGCAATAAAAGCGCCTGGCAAATGCATGAATGTAGATGTAAATGCATCGGCCTGCGGTCCTTCAGGTTCGGTTGATGCGGTTCACGAGCCTAAGCTTTACTGTGTAAATGTGGAGACGGTTTTGCCGGTGTCGATTTTCCCCTCGGGATGTTTTCTGTAGTTTTTGGAGGAGGATGGCTGGATCAGTGTTGCCGTCTCGTTCTCTACATCCACTCCGGTGTTTCTTTGCTTCTCTGCTATTCTCTCAAATGTTTCTTATGCCTTTAGCAGCTCTTTCTGACCTACTTGTTTTTCTTTTTCTTATTTTGCGGTTGTTTATTGGTTTATTCTATGATAAAATAGAATAATAAAGCAGGTTTTGTCTAATTTTCGCGGCACCTCTACACCCTATTTATCTAAAGCACTCTGTACCCCAGAGTCGGCCCTTGCAAGGCCTGAGAATTTGATTGAAACATAATGTGATGAAAAATAAGAGCTCAGAGCGGCGTATTAAATATGAATGACTCTCTGCTAACGGCACATGTAAACGATCGCTCGAGCGGGAACAGGTTTACTTTACACAATAAAGCGGGGGGGAAAACAGGAAAACTTCACCTCCGGCACACGAGGGTTCATGGAGCAGCGAAGATGATGCTGATGTTCATCACGAGCAGAAGCACAATCAGCTCAGCTGCTGCTTCAGCACTTCTCAACCACTTGCTCCTTAGGATGTAGATTTTACACTGAACATCAAGTATTTATTGTACAGAAGTCTTCAAATCAAGCTCTGCTTTTTATTTATTTATTTATGCATTTATTATTTTTCTATTTGTAAACTTTTTACTCTTTATTATTTTATAATTTTATTTGTTCATTTTAATACATTTTTGTTTATTTTTTATAATTGTTTATATTTTTAATTATAATTTTAATTGATCATTTAACACAGATTTCTATTGTGCTATTTTTATTATATTTTATTATAGTTATTTATTATAATTTACATTTATAACTTATTTCACTATTTATTATTATTATTATTATTATTTCAATTTA